CCCTTGGGTTTATTCTTGAATGAGAAAAAGAAAATACTGCTTTTGGTGTGGAGGTCACACACAAAAATTCAGATTTCATAGGTAAATACGTGAATTATAGGCATTGACCAAAGGGCTCCGGAGAAAAGCTTGGCAGCTTCTATTCCTGTCTGGAATAGTGGCTCCCACCCGGCTGGGCTGAGGACTTATTCACCCCTCTATATATTAGGATAAACACCACCAGCAGCCTTACTACCAACCCCACAGACTGCCTCCCACCAAGACCATCATCTCCACTAATATCTCCTCCACCTTCACCTAAACAAGACTTGCCAACACCATCCCCTCCACCACCCTCATTACCCATCCTCACCTCATCACCAAACCACCCCCCACCCCCACCACCCTCCCTTCTCAGTGTCTGTTTAGAACTGCATCCTCTGCATCCAGTTTTATGAATGATCTGATATAACCATGCTCTCTTAGTCACCACCACCAGCATTTTTGTGATGCCAACAACTAGATTTTACATCGCGCCTATTGGCTTCCAAGAAGCTTCCCCTGTCTACACACATTCAATAAAGATCTTAGTGTTATGGGCTTGCTATGTGATTGATCGTGTAGTTTTGCATTGCATTTTTAAATAAGTTAGAGCAAGGCTGTTTAAGCCTTTAAGTAAGTTTGAAGATTTACGTGTATAAAACTCAATACCAGAGTTGTCCAGACCCCTGCCATTTCCTAGGAAGGCTGAATGTGGGAAACACCAGATTTTATGTTTGATCTTATTAGGTGGGCAGGGMACCATCATATACCATTGGAACTATCACCAGTGTGATCACACCCACCTTTAAAAGCCTTCTGAGTGATTCTACTGGGCCAGAGAGTTAAAGAGCAACACTAAACTTAAATGATAACACTACAATCAATCTCACAATTATTCTTAGAACCATCATCTCAATTTGTTGTCCCAGACTTCTGGCCATGTGGCCACCTGGCGCAATAATCTTTGGAAACTGAATGGGTCAGGTGAACTAGGTGCCACTACTAATGCAGACTGGTTGGCACCACTTGGATTCTCCACTGAACATCTCCACTCCAGGGACTCAACATTCAGATTCACGGCTTTCTTTGTTCATGTTCGTTTATGACAGGGGCAACATTTATGGGGAAAAACAGAGAAGGAGACTAATAAGCTATGGCCTTGTAATGAGCTCGGTTCTCCCACCCAAAGGACATTTCAGGAGTAAACAGGGCGTACCCCTGGGAGGGTCTGCCCGAGGAGGCAGAACGTGGACCTCTGAGTGGGGGTGAAAACATCTGTTTATTATGCTTTTCTTTATGCGGCTGTACAGAGTTAATGTGGAAAAGACAGCCACTGGGGTAAATACATTTGCTATTAGGAAAATTCATCTTAGCTGTCCTGGGTTTAGAGGACATTTTAATAAATCATTCAATTTGTCTATTCTGCTTCCCTGCAGGTCTGCATCTAAATAATATCAGAGAAATGTGCCCCCTGCTTTCAAGATTTCTCTGATAACAGGGTCTCAGTGTCTGTTTAGAATTGCATCCTCTGCATCCAGTTTTATGAATGATCTAATATAACCATGCTCTCTGAAAGCCCTGTTGCTCACGACTGATTTTCAGAGGGACCTATCTCCATGTCTGTGTGGAAAAGAAGCATGTGGGTCCCCTGTTAGAGTCTCTCAGCTCTGAAAGTTAAGTTCTGCTTTTAAAGTATAAACCCCTCTCTAATAATATTCTTTATCCTGCTTCTTAAAGGCAGACCAGTGGAAAGGAGATTTATGGAAACCCTGGAGAAGGCTGAGTCATACTCCATTGTGTATATCTACCACAGTTTCTTTACCCACCATCTGTTGAAGGACACTCAGGTGGGTTCCACAGCTTGGCTACTGTGAGCTGAGYTGCTATAAACACTGATGTGGCTGTGTCAGTGTCGTATACTGATTGTAAGTCCTTTGGGTATATCAAGGAGTGGGCTCTAATGAAGCTTCCTGGCCATCCGCCGTGGGATGAGGCAGGCCTCATGACAAGAGGAAACAATGCCTCCTACAGGAGTTCTGGGGGATTCTCTGAAGGCTGTCCTCTCCCCTGCCCTCTGTTCCATGCTCCTTCCCTCCCCTCCTTTCCTAACGGGCAAGTCGAGCTATAGAGCAACCAGCATCTTGGAATCTCTCCCACCAGGGGTCATGCCCACAAAGAAGAAACAGATGTTGACTCTCCCTTCTAATTGGAGGGGATAGGATAAGCTGGGAAGGTGAGAAGGAAACAGTGAGATCAAAAGTGTGTAGAGGACATTTTCTCTTAGTGCTTCCCAGCTCGAAGATGCGCAGTTTTTATATCTTTGGTTCATCTCCTCAGTTCCCGTTTCTGGGAATCATGGCTATCAAGATCTCAGGTGACCCAACAGCCACTGCGGCCGAGGTCCCAGCCCCTCCCTGTCCCTCGGTCCCCTGCTCTGAGGAGGAGGTCCGAGGGCACCCACCTGTCATGGTGTCTTTCCTGGAAGTGTGCTCGCCTTTAGTCCCGTGGTAGGTGGCGTTGCTGCTGGTGGACTCGTAGTCYGTCTTCCTTTCCTTGAGGCTGATCATTTCCCGAGGTGAAGCTGGGGCACTTGCTAGATGGAGAAATGAGAAGGATGGTCTTTTTGCAGCTCATTCCAAACCATGTCTGCCTCTTCACATGAGCAGTTAAGGCCACAAAGACACGGCTCCACCGGGGCCCCATATCTCTGCGTGGCCTCTTGAGAGTTTTTGGTGATTTTTGCTCTTGAACTTATCACTTTGCCTCACTCTGTGACAACTGGTGAGAGGTGAGGCTTAGAGGCAGGTGTTTAAAAATTACTTCTGGGACCATCTTCCCTGGTAGAGACAGGACCTGCCCGAGGTGTACACGGCAGTTTTAAGAATGAAGACCTGTCTTGCTTTCTTTCTCTTTCCCCTCCTTCCCTCTCTCCCTCTCTCCATTTCTCCTCCCCTCCCCCTTTTTGGCTTTTAGCATCCTTAACCCCAAAATTCAAAAATCTGAAATGCTCCAAAATCAAACACTTTTTCAGTGTTGACATTATACCAAAGGTGAAATATTCCATACCTGATCTCAAGTGATAGGTCGCAGTCAGAGCAGATGATTATTCAAAATATTACATAAAATTACCTTCAGGCTATATGTGTAAAGTATATATAAAACATAAATAAATTTCATGTTTGGACTGGAGTCTTATCTCCAAGATATACCATATCTATCTATCTATCTATCTATCTATCTATCTGTCTGTCTTGGGGCCAGGGCCAGAGTATTTCATATTTCTGGGTATATACCACTGTGTGTGTGTGTGTGTGTGTGTATCCAGAAATATGAAATACTCTGGTCCCAAGCATTTGGAACAAAACATATTCAACCTGTACTGATAATGAAGAATCCATGTTTAAAAACAACGCAGTTTGATTTAAAGGTGGAGTTGTCAACATCATCAGAAACTGCTCTCGAGGAAGGCAGAGGAAACGACCGTCCACATGGGTTGATTTGTGGGGCTGAAATCACCAAGCCCACCAAGCTTCTCTCCAGGCRGCCCAGGGCCAGGGCTGAGAGAGCTTCTGTTCCTGATAGGGTGTCCCTGCTTCAGGTCCTTGGATGATCATCACGTCAGTCCCT